GATGTTTAAAATACCCTCGCGACTTGTTATCCTCAGCTGTGTCCTTCAAGGCATCAAAACAGGTTATTTTCATGAAACGCTTGCATTTGCCTTCTCGTCGAAGTCGTAGCTTTTTGTTACGTTTTTCAGTTCTTATGATGTACAAGACATATTTGTGGTCTTTGTCTGGAACCGAGTGGAATAGCTTTGGTAATCGATGGAAACTAGATCCAGAAGTGGATAGATGAATTGCAGTTACCTCTGGTCATTGAACAATTTTGTTTTATTCACTTAGAAAGTGTCCTGCGTGAGATCTTGTCAGTTAATGTTTTTTTAAGACCAGAAACCAGCCTAATCGAGACTTAATTTTTTTCCCTTTGTTTACAGTTAGTGCGTCTGATGTCTCGTTGCTGATAGTCAAAGAGCCGTTCTTGTAGAATTCATGGCAGAGGATTATCAGGCTACCTTTAGAAGTCAGGTGAGCCTATAAATATTATAGAAATAAAATTTGTACATCAAACCAACACAAACAGAAAGTTGGTTTGGTGAAAATAATTTGAGGTTTTATCTTACACATAGCTTATATGCAACACATGCAGTTTTACTGTCCAAAAGCGATGAGACTCTTGTCAAATATGATATTTCCCCGTAAATGTTTCTGCTTGAGTACTTGTGAAAAGGAGAAACCTTAAGGTAAGCAACTTTTTAGCAACATTTACTCCCCCCCTGAAAAAGAAACAATTTTGCGTTAACATCAACAATTTGCCCTTTAACACCTTCGTCATCGTCATCATCACTATCTAAAACAGTGCGATCATTCCAGTACACAACTCATTCACAAATCGTCAGGTAGTATCTAGTTAAGCTTGGAAAGACACAGCACTTGGAAGGCAAAATTGTCTAAATCTTCCAAATGACAGAAAGTTAAAATTAAAAATTGGCATAACTGCCACCTCTTGTCAGGGGATGTGAAATCACTATTCCAAGTTAAGTCTGGGACAATTGTACTTATATTCGTACCGATGCCATTTTCCAGAAAGTCTCCAGTTAAATCCCTTGAGTAGAACCAAGAGCTTCTTAGTCACATGTTCATAGGTATAAAGACTAGCTTAGCTATGTGCGACAACAACAACAACAACAATACCTTTATTCACCTTGTACTTAATTAATTACATACTCACATGCGCACTTTTATTATCTTTTTTTTTTCAAAATTTACAGGGAAATGTATTAGTTGAAAGACCGCCAGTACCAGTCAGTAATCTTAAGTCTCAGGCTAGCAGTGGGAATTCCATCAAGAACCACACCATGCATCCTTCCTCTTTCAAAGATTCATCAATGATTGGGAACAGCAGCCATAATCATCACCACCACCGCCACAAAAGGCACCACTCCAATGGCAGGGTTAAGAAAGATTATGGAAATACTGCTGATCGCTTCAGTCGGACGGCCACTGTACTGCGACACTCAGGTCTACTGAAACTCACACTTCAGATTGCTCAGCTTATTAAAACGAATGAAGATCTTCAAAAAGAAATAGATGATCTTCAAAGAGAAGCCATGGAGTTCAGTCAAAATTTGAAAATCCAAATACAGCAAAAACTGTCAGAGCAAAATGGTTCTAGTAGCTTTCAGTATGGAGGAAATGGGTAGTTTTGTAATTGTTATTATTTCATTCAGTATACATGCATGGTTATCAACAAATGGGCAAACAAACTTATAAATATAGAAGTATTAATATGTCATTTAATTTGGTTTCTGGCAAACACAGTAAACTTTGCTCAGAGGGAAGGGGAGGAAAGGGATAGGGTGGGTTGCAGCCCACTTTATAGTAGGGTGTGTAAATATGTTTGATTTGTTTTCCGGTTAAAACGTGCTGAGAAAATTGTACTCTTCAAATGTCCCAACCAATCATTATTTTAAAAGTAATTAAACTAAAGTTTTTTTTTGCAACCTTAGATGGTGCCTACATTGGCATGGCACCTGAGACTTTTTCCACAGCAATCCATTGCTTTGGATACACAACAGTTATTATAACTTCCACTTCTACACTCAGGGGCGGATCTAGGGGGAGGGTGCAGGGGGTGTGCACCCCCCCCTGAGATGACCTGCGGTTTTCTAATACAACTGGTATTCTGCAAAAAAAAAACTATGTGGTTTATTGGTGTTGAAGTAGAGCAAGAGACGAGTGCACCCCCTCCTAAAAAAAATCCTGGATCCGCCCCTGACACTCATGCTGTAAAATGGTGTCTGACAGAGCAAGATGGGGTAATTATGTACATATTTGAATATCGGGACTCGGCAGGGTGAGGAGGCTGGGGCCAACTGAACACAACATTAATGATTTAATTTTGATCTGGAACCTCCATGTAGACACTTGCAGCTCACTAAACTAGCAATAACTTAGAAAATAATGCTCTTTGTTTTAATATTCTTGAGGATATTGAGGAATATTTTGGTATAGAATGGTTCTTTGAAAAACATGGGTCTTGGGAAACATTGGCCCGATCTCAAAACCTCAAAAGTATTAAATTTTTGTTTTGCATCTTGGAGTCTCAAATTTTTTAAGTCTCAGTCTTGAATTTTAAAACCGGGGTCTAGCAGTCTTGAATTTACCATTCTATACCCCTGATATTGAATTGCTTTCTATACTTCGCACCGCTCTCCACTATCTGAACGCTTGGAACAGGCTAACCCGGCATGTATAGTTGTGATGACGGCAGTCTGCACATCACAGACAGTTTTCTGGACCCTAAAAGATATCAGGACTTCTGAAAAATAAGCCTTAAAATTCATTTATTTCTTTTGCACTCTAGTAGTTACTCAGACAGTAGTTACTCAGGCAGTAGTTATTCCAGTAGTTACTCAGCAAGGAAATGGTTTTTAAATACTGACTAATTAATACAGTCAAACCACGTTAATACGGACACTGAAGCTCCTATACACAGAGGAAAATGTCCATAGTAATCGGGTGTCTATATAAGGCAGGTTGAATTTAGGGAAAATGTTAGGCTTTAATTCTTTCCCCAGGGACAAAGCAAACTGTCCATAATAAGAAAGTTTCTGCATTAAGTGGGTGTCCATATAGCAGGGTTTGACTGTACCAAGGGCTTTTTATGGGGTGTGTACAATAAATTCTTTTTTTAAAATTTGGTTTGCCACATTAAATTTTACTGTCAATTAAACTCAGAGAATGTTAATGAACAGCTGAAATACATATTCAGGAATGTTGATCAACATGCAGTGAAAATGACCAGCGTATTTGAGCACACCACAAAAAATCTGTGAAATTGAGCAAAACATTTTGCCATCGTTGCTGCCAGTGGCATTATTTTTGCAACACAGTAACATGCTGGAGATATTTTGGCGTTCACTTTTAATTTGTTTATTTCCTTTTTATTTAAACTTTTTCAGATGTTTTTGTTATTCCTGTTAGTAGTTTGTTCTGCTGGCAGCAGAGTTGGTTAAGTGAATTATATCCTTCGATCAGCATGACCAATGGTGAATCCATTATGTCCAAGATATTAAGACAACACTTTCTTTTTCCTAAAACTGCAGTACTGTAAGATCCTCCTTGTGTACAAAGACAATTTCAAATGACTAACAGTGTGTTAGTGTTGTTTTATTATATTAGTCTCAGTCTTTTTTCTTCATTTTGAACGTAGAATGAATTAAAGTTACTTTGAGAGGCCTTATCTATTTGCTTTGATAACTTTTTGCTATTAGCTTTGTTAACTTAAATGCCCTCAGTCTCGTGCAGAATTGCAGTTTTTAGTTGATTTGACCAATATGCGTCCCATTCTGCCCTCTACTGGCAGAATTCTAGCATGGCTAACGCCGCTTTGCCAAAGGAACGCGTGCCTTCGGGTGAATTCGATCTATTTGCAACATATCGCGGATAGCCTGCGGTGGAATTTAATGTTTTCTGTTTTCTGAAGGAGCTGTGTCACTAAATTATAAATAATTAAATTCAAACAGTGAGAGCTGCCACCAAATTGAGTATTTCATTAAAATAACCGCTCAAAACGTTGAAAGAAGGTATGAATATTGTACATTTTATAGAAAGAAAAAACAGATTGCCAAAAAAACCTCTTTTCGGTGACCACGTGATAGTAACCTTGGCCTCGCATGCAGCCGTTTTTTTTTTCCCCGGGCTCCAAGTCCTCTGTTTGGCTTCATACATATGGGTGCCTTTCTATACTGAAACCCAAATCCGGATTTTTAATCAAAACAGGACGTTTCGTTTCTTTACCAAAATCCGGGGGAGAAAACGGATTATTGATCCAAATGATCCACAACAGAGGTAGATTCTTTGGATCCTTTTCAACACCGGATACTTAATACGGACCCGAAAAGAGAAAGCGGTATACACTCGAACACATCAGCTGTTTGACTGCACTTTGCACTGCTCATCTTTACGGCCAGTTTGGACCCGAGCCGTGGATTAAACGATCGATTTTATTCGTTTTATCAGGGGTTGGTAAAATCGCAATGCCAACAGGACCTGAATCGTTCTAGTTTCCAAGGGCAAAACTCAGAAAAACTGCTTTACAAATTCGCCGGCGCGTCTTGCAAGACTTAATTTTTCAAGTTCATATCTTTAATATTGCAAAACTCGTCTTCATTTGGCCTGTCTAAAGCGGAATCCTTGAGCTAATCGTCCAGAATAGAATGAAAGATCAGCCACTTGCTACATAGTCAGCAGCTGTGTTATTCTCTCTTTGGGATATTCCTTCTAGGTTGTATGTTTCTATGGAAATGAATGAAAATAATCCTTTTCTTGGATACATCGTTTTGTTTTGTTTTTTGACGAAAAATCCTACTGATCCCGATTTTTTTATATCTGATGTTGGAGGTAAGAGTATTTACTCATAACCCTAGCTGTGTAGCATACGTTACAGAACGAAATCTAGTCACTTTGTCTTTGCCATTTTTTTCACGAGATTGACCGCTAAGGCTACCCATATAAGAAAGCTTCTTTAGCAAGTTTCATTTTTCGGATTAAGGCCGTTGCCATGGCAACATCGCATCTTTAGCCAGGGAGTAATTTTGTCATTTTTGATCATTTTTTCTTAATATTTCTTTTTTACCTTGGTGAAATGTCTTTAAACTTTGCCACTTTATATTAACGATATTGCTTAACATTTTAAAGTGGAAAAAACATGGGGTCGTTTAGACGGTTTTGCCAATATTTGAAATTTGTAATTTTTTTTTTTAATGGAGGAATTTAGCTCTTACAGATTTTTACAAAAATAGGACAGTACAAAGGTACTGCAACTGTTAAGAAATGAGGCGATTTTTAAAAAAAATTACCGAAGGAAGCGCGTGAAATTCACGGTTAATTAACTACGTTGACGTCACAAAAATCCGAAAAACACGCGTGGTTCGGGGTCGTATGAGCAAAATACGCGCGCGAGCCATCACGCCCGCATGCGCATAATGCACAAAGCTACTGAAAACATGTGGTTTCTTTGAAGAGTACGAAAGCCATTGTTTTGAAGCCGTTTATTAGTATTATTATGGTGATATCTCGCCAGTTGAAAAGCGAGAGATAGCGGATTCAATTTTATACCTAACACAGGGTGTTTTCTTCGAAGTACTTGACTATTGTAACTAAAATTCGAACCGTGGTGGTCACTCGTGAGGATGGCGATCGTCGGGCGATGAAGACGGTGGTGGTGCAAGGATCGCATTTTAAGCCCTTCATTTCCTGATCTGCTGTACACTGTTTGCAGATCTTCAAATGTCAGCCCACTTTCGGATACTTTTTCAACCTTGTTCTTCTTTAGTGATAATTTCGACGGCGAAGTTTTTCTTTAACAGTCTGCTGTAAATTATGAAAGATGGCGCCGATCTATATAAATAGTACATCATGTCCTCAGCTACGTGTACAAGACCGTAGGTCTCGAAGGACAACTATTGCTTTCATCAAGGGTCAATCCGTGAGTAAAAATTATTTCTCGTTGTGCAAAAACATTAGCCATTTACTTCGACTATTTAACGTTTGTCTACTTTTGAAGCGAAAGAATTGATGTCTTTGGAAAATTTCTGCTTTTAATTTGTTTTTACATACAATTTACTCTTTTGGAGATCGATAGTGACTTGTAACCGGAGTAACATTGCCTCCTCTCATAAATGTTTGACCTACACTAATCAAACTTTTTGCACAATGAGCTTCAATAGAAAGTTAATAAAGTTTTTTGAAGGGAATATTTCGAAACTGAGAGGCCATGTTTGTTTTAATTTTTGGGTGGACGTCGTGCTGAATTTAAAGCTCGCGCCATACTAGTGCTCAGGCTGCACACGGCCAATTTACCCATCCCAAGTTCTGATTACCATGTTAATCATAACTATAACAAAATTGTCAAATCTGATTGGCTCTCAACTGCCCTGATTTCAGCCTTAATTGGACAGTTTAATAGGACAGTACGCGTCATGCCTAAGTAATTGGACAGTACGCGCCATCACGCGCGCGCTTAAATGGCTTTTTTTTCACTGCTAGCAAAACAAAATTTCGAATTTCTTGTGTTTTGGTTTAAAAAATAGCCTATTGTATCACGAATTTTGTCAAAGTTATGATTAATTGGTAACAGAACTTCGTGTCGTCCAATTCGGTCTGTAATCATACTCGTGATTAAACAAATCGGACTCCCGCTACGCGGTCGTCCGATTTTGTTAATCACTCGTATGATTACAGACCGAATTGGACTCCACTCAGTCCTGTTACCATTACTTATTCGACTAGGCACCCAACTTGAATGAGCACCACAATTGGAACAAAAATAAATAAATAAATAAAATCCGGTTTTCGAACCTTATCAATATTCCCATTCCCCCATTTCAAAATTCAGCCACAGTTTGTGTTCGCCACCTGTGGACACAAAGCTGTGATTCCGGTGTTCGAACGTTATCAATATTTCCATACATTTACTCCATTTCACCTGTGATCACACCTGAGGGGGAGGGGGGGGGTGGTATTCCCGGGAATTTTTCGTGGGGGTGTGCCGCCCGGTTCTCTAAATCCTAACCCTATTTCAGACTTAAAAATGCTATTTTCCACACCCGTTTTCAGACTCGGCGTCTTAAATCCATATCCGTTTTCAGACCTGGTATAGGTTGAATTATTAAGTCACCATTTTTAGACTAGAGCTCAAACAAAAAGATTTCTTTTTACTTTTTCTTTCTGATTCACTTGGAATTAAAAAGGCAAATACGTTTATATACTCCCGTAGTTTCCTCGAAAACGATACCCGATTCCAGAGCAAAATGGGAAAAATCTATACCCTTTCTCGGTCTGAAATGGCGCAAAAACCATACCCTTTGGGAGGCACATTCCAATATGAGGGTCTCAATGGGGTTAACCGATAGGCGTAAAACGGCCAAAAATTTAGTCGATAGCCGTAAAAATTGAAAAATTTTAACCGTTAGCCGTAAATAGGATTAAAAAAAGTTAACCGTAAAAGAAAATGTTCCCTAGATTTGCTACTTTTAATGAAGGTACTAAACTCACTTATAGTTGCGTTTTTTATTTCCCGGCTAGTGTGACTCCGTACGCACGTTAGGTGAAGCGCCTTTTAGGTGTTGACCAAGACCTAAGCTCCATTTCCGCCGTTCTCTCGGGGAACTAATCTTTTGCATACCAAAAATGTGGCTTCTTTCTGGGGATTATTATTTGCGATTTTCAGGAGGTCTTGCCCTCGAAATACTAGTGAAACAACACGCAGAGATGTTACTGTTTGTAAAACACGTTGCCGACAAACAACATTTCCCTGTTTTTCCCTGACTACGGTAGACATTGCCATGCATAGTCCCTGTACGGCGCCTTCCCACGCAATCTCGGTCAAGGCATTTCGGTGGCGAACTCGCTCGGACCACGTGACCCGAAACGCATAAGCCGCGCGGGATAATGAGGTCTACGGACAAGGCAACGGCACAGTGATTCCGTACAGTCCTTCGCTATCATTAAAAACACTGGACACGGGAATTTTGTTATTGGCCCTTTTCACACTAGAGCTAGAAATGGATTATCCGTCTGAGACTCGCCTGTCTACAGTCGCGCCCTCCTCACAGAAACCCCTTCTCCGACTTTTTCTGGGGGGAGGGGGTGGCTGTACACAGGCTATCTGGAACGGATGATCCCGTCTGCAAAAGTCAGGCGGATTGCTGCTTCAAAACTAAAACGATTCCATTTTCCAATTAAGACGTATTACCTATCTGACACGGCGAATCATCAAACGGATAACCCGTCTCACACGTATAATCCGTCTCTAGTGTGAAAACGGCCATTTCTGTTATAATGAATGTCGCGCTCGGGTCTTGAGTTGGGCGTTCGTGTGTCTGCTTTTGCTTTTTCACAAAGATTATTTTTAAATTGACTATTGACATTTCTATGGGTAAAATAATGTGAGAAGTGGAATACTTTAAAAAAAGTATGATCTATCAAATGTTAAAATCTTTCAAAAGAATATAGCTTATTTCATGCCGAGATGATCCGAAGACCTTTATTTTGATTTAAAGATACAAAAAATACAAGTTAACCTTTTGAAACAAGAAGTTAATTTTTAACTTTTTGTTAACCGTAACTGAAAAAAATTAACCGATAGCCGTAAAAGAGCCCAAATTTTAGCCGATAACCGTAAAAGCCACCACCCCATTGAGACCCTCTATTATGGGGAATTCGAAAATAGTCAATATATATTTTACAGATTGATTTTTTGGGGGTCTTAGTTTTCGTAATAACGAAATTAAGAGGGGTCTTAGTTTTCGTAATAACGAAATTAAGAGGGGTCTTAGTTTTCGAAATTACGAAAACTAAGACCCCTAAATTTGCCAAGATTTGACCTAAATCTCGGTGGAAAGGATCGGCCAAAAGATAATTTGACAGATTATACCTATTTTGCTTACAATTTGACTTTATATTTCGACGGATTCGATTTTAGGGGTCTTAGTTCTACGTAATCTCGAAAACTAAGACGGGCCTTCGGTCTTAGTCTTAGTTTTCGTAACACTCGTGATAAGTATTGATGTGGAACTATGATGTTGTTATCTAAATGTATATATATTTATAATTGTTATCGTCTATTTTTCGTCTTTAGATTGATGTGTACAGTTTTGGCGTTCTCATCTGCGAGATTTGTTTCGGGAAACTACCAAATCCTGACAGGCGTGCCGAGCAAGTCGCCATGGTGAAAAACAAAGTGCTAAGAGCTCTTATTCGTAGATGTTTACAAGACAATCCTCAAGACAGACCTAGTATGGAAGACGTTATTGGTGAACTAGAAAAACTAGTTTAAGAA